ACAAAAGATGTTCTTGTCACGGTATCACTCAAGAAATTCCGAGGGTTTCTGTGCCAGGAACCAGGGATGAAGACCAAATATATATTTCTTATTATATTCACAATATCACACCATTATATTCCTATCAGTTATCATATAGTAAGTGCTCAATAAATATTCGTGGAATGAATGATTTGCAGCTGAGGGCAGGGGCAGAGTTAGGGGAGCCTTGTAAATAAACCTTTGCACCTTCTAGCCCACCCTCTGTACACATTGTCACTTTCACCACTGACAGAGGATAGGTCGCCACCTGCCAAGGATAAGTTGTGTGAGTCATAGCCCACCATGCAAGTAGGCAGGTGAGTTGCTGTGAGTGAGGTTATATGGCAAGAACGCCCCTTGCCCATCATGCCTCTGTACTGCCCTCCCCTCAGTTGTCCCCTGTGCCTAGTTGTTTGCAAAGCTGGAACAATGCCGTGAGGAAGCAGATGGAGGGCACAGCGAAAGAGGTGGTATTGTGGCTCACTCCAGTCACCGAGCTCCAGAGGGGAATAGATGCTGACAACTCAGGTGGGTCAAGGCAGAAGAAGCAGCGTAAATTAGGAGCTTGCTCTGCATTTCTGTAACAACGATGATAAGGACATAGTGTCTTTATCCTCCCGTGAGGAGAAAGGTCAGTTAATGCTCCTTCCTCCCTCCCAGCTCTTCCTCCCAGGCAATGCAATGTCCCCGAGGTGCCTCAGTCTAGAGGGTATATGGGGAGACTTCATGTGGGGTGAGATTTGTACCTCCTCTGGCTCAGGAAGGATGGAGGGGGGCACCCTTTTCCTAGGAGCCTGAGGAAAACGCAAGATTGGGAGGGTAGAGCCAGCAGTTGCCCTCTCCTTCCTGCTCCCACCTCCAGGAAGGGGCAAGGTGCCGCTGGTGAACAGTAGCACCAGCAAGATTGTGTCCAGGGTGGCAATGATTGGGCTGTTGGCTAGTGGCCTCCTGCCCTAGCCTGGCTATTTGTGCCCATGATCACCCACCGGCCTGATAGAACACCTTGCTGCTTTGATTTAGTTTCTCTACTGCCACTCAGCCCGCTCCCCCAGACAGCGGGTCCCAGACATCTCTTTGCATCTCACCCTCCTGCCCACCTAGGCCTTTCCCTGTCATTTGATAGCCCAGGTGACAGTGGGACTGTGAGTTCTCTCCCAATGCATGAGCTCACCTCTCACCTACTGCCTCTTAGAGGCATTTTATAAAAACCTTATGTAAATAAATACGGCATGCATGAAACAAGAAATGCACACATACACACATCAGCACACACACATGCCATTTGGAGAACAAGGAGGGCCTGTTCTGTCACGGGTGGTCGAGACTGCCACACGTGGTTACATTACAAGTGGCCGCAGGCTCCAAAGTCTGGAGCTGGTCCTGCTTTGGCTCCACTTCCATCCTGACTGCCCAGCTGCTACCCGGCTGCTGCCCACTTTTTAGATGATCCATACCAAAGGCCAGGCCCAGGCCTGCAAGTGACTGTAGAGTGCCATGCCACACACTGAATAAACAATAGATTCACCCTCTTCAGTGCCCATCCCCAAGCTGCAGTGTACCCCTGAATTCACTAGTTATTTGGGGACCATAATGACCCCAAGTGATTTGCACAAACTGCCCTCTCGCCACCACCTGACTCCTAACCAGAAGCAATCCTGGAGAGAGACATGACTTCATATAAGTACATGGATGTGAGACGATGTAAGACCAGACAGACTCTGGGGAAGGGCCACAGTGGCCCCTGCTCAGGGCTGAGCCCTTCTGCTTAAATTTGGTCTCTGGACTGAAAGGTGAGAAGTTCCCACAGCTGCGGCACAGGGAGGAGAGGAGGGGCAGCTGAGATGGAGGCAAGGCTGGAAGGATTGGAGAGGAGCAAATAACGGAGGTGCTTCTACGTTGTGGCAGGAGGAGTCTCTCTCCTGGAACAGGGAAAAGGCCCATTCTCAGGCTCTCAGTGAACATCCAGAAAGGGCAGGGTTTGAAATTCCCCCTTCTCCTGGGTGTCCAGCCCTCCTCTAGCTCTCATCATCCACCCCTACTTTATCCCATTACTGTTCCCTGCAGTATGGGCCTCTCATCCTCTCCTGCACTTTTCACCTCCCACCCAATTGAGTGACTATCCAAGGCTTTAGGGGCTCCAAAGGGAGGCTCATCTTCTATTTCACCTCCATTCCTAGAACCCTCTGGGTCATCATGGCAAAAGCCAAGAGCAAGACCCCAAGCCCAAGGAAGTAGACTGGGTGGAAAGAGTGGAGCACTGAGGATGAAGTATGGAGCATCTTACACTACCCACAGCCCCCATGACCTCAGTTCTTACCACGTTCCCTCTTGTGGGCACTGAAGCAAGTGTGAGGAAGGAGCGTGGTGAGAGATGCACCCCTCTTCTGTGAGGCTGCACAGCCATGGCCTCCTGTCCAACTAGACCCTGGACCCACCCTCTGCCCCCTGCTCTCTGACATCCAGTCCCTGACTTCAAGCTCCACGTGGTCAAAGCTCCACATAGTGAAGCACCTCCCCCAGGAAGGAAAGAGTCCAGGGAAGAGCTGGGAGGAGAAAGAAACTCAGTTCGGTTGGCGCATCAAGGTCAGGGGCCTCACCTCTCCTAGTATTAAAGGAGAAGATCTATAAGTGGAGAAGGGAAGCCAGCTGAGGGGCCTCTGAGTGGAAATCAGGGCACAAGTCTTTTGCAACAGAATCCCCATGGGAAACAAGACAAAATTAGTAACAAGAATGAGGCCTCCCTCAGAGGATACAAGAATCCTTGGGTTGAAAATAACCACAAGGTCATCTAGTCCAGCTGCCACCAATTGCCTGAATTTTTCCAACAAATTTTTGGACAAGCAGTCATCTAGCATCACACAGGAGCTCAGTGTTCCACGTGGCAGCCACTTCTGATGGTGAGCAAGGCTTGGAAAGCCCCCTGGGGGCCGGCGCTTCCAGGGGCAGGTTCATAGTGGGCAGAAGGCAGCACAAGGGCTCCTAGATCCAGCACGTTTCTCCACCAGGGCGGTGTGTTTATACACCCTTGATTCACAGCAGAGGCTCTTGGTGAAATCAGGGTTTCTTTGCTTTAAGCTGCTTTAGTGAACCAGCCTTAAAACAGTCCCCAGGGGAGAGCAATTTTTTGTTGTTGTTGGCTCTCATTCCTGTAAAAGAACTGGGAATCATAATTTTAGAACCAGAAGAAACTTAACTGTCATCTAGTCCAACCTCCTCATTTGACTTATGAAAACTGAAAGGAGCCTTGAGCCTTGAGGTGGAATTCAGAGAACATTCCCCACTGTTTCCACCAGTGCTCCCTCTGAGGCTGCAGTCCCTGTGGCTCTGGGTGGTCACTGTCTCTGAGTCCCCTCATGAAAGTGCCCAGTGGCCTCTCTTTTCAGTCCCCATGCTACCTTCTCCACTGCAGCGCTGGCCCTGTTGACTCTTCCCTTGTTCTCAAAATTCTCCTCCCTTGGTCTTTGCAACACCCTTCCTGGTTTCTTCCACTTTCTTTTCATTCTTCTACCTGCACCATAAATACAGGTGTTCCCTACAGCATGTTCTGGCCCTGTCTTTCTACTCATACTACATATTTTTTCTCTTGGTTAGAATCACGACAAATACAGGAGTAATTTATAAATATCCATCTTCAACCCACAGTTCTCTCCCCAGCTAGTAGGTTGTACTCCAGAGTCATAGATCAAACTATTTACTGATTGTCTCCATCTGGATGTCTCATAAGGATCTTGATTCAACATGTTAAAAAGTGGAGTTCATTATCCACTCTCCCCAAACTTGTTCCATTCTTGTATTCCCTACCTCTTTGATACCTACCTCTAACCATCATAACACGTAAACCCAGAAGTTATTGTAGACTTCTCTATTTCCCTCAATTCCTGCTTCCAATTTGTGCCTGCCATGAAGAAATGTTAAAAAAGAATGCAGCAAAGAATTGCATCAAGATTGGGGAAAGTGGCCTCACCTCCCAACCTTGATGGATATCAGGAATGAGACAAAGAAAAGACTCTTTCGATAAGGTCAGCAGACAAAGCTGTGCCCTCGCAGGTGGGACAGCCATGACTTCAGTCCTCGGAGTGCTCTACCAGCCCCCAGTCCATCTGCCTTCTTCTGTATTTACCTCCTACTGATCCAGCTCAGATTCAGTGGACCACCTTTTCAACTACTCTGTTTCCAACAGCTGCAACTCACTTATCCAGTCATCACAACACCTGGAAAATTCCATGTCTTCTTCATGAGTGCACCTAGCCCACCATTTGCTGATGGAGGACGTTTTCCAACTAGGTGCATTAGCACCTCTATGAACTCATCGTCACCTAACTCAGCCTTGTCCTCAGCACTACCCGTTAGCATTGCTCTGTTTCTATAGTCTGCTCACTCTTCTTTTCCCCACAGAAACCACTGTAAAGCTTCTCCCTGCCCACTCCTTATGCCCCTTAACTCTACCTACACTCCCAGCTTCACTCGCCACTTCACAAAGAAAGTAGAGGCCATCAGGTAGGAACACTCTCAAATAGTTGCCACAAACCTGCAAGCACTCATCCCTTCTTTCTCTTGTCTTGTCAAAACGGAAGAGAGGTCCTTTTTCCTACCTAAGACCAATCATCACTCGTTCATTCACTCAACAGTTAACTGCTGAGTGTCTACTACATGCCAGGGTTACAAATGTAGCCACCACCTGTGATAAGGTGGTGTTCCTGTCTCCTTCCTAAAATAGTCAAGCTCAGTTCAATCTCACTGACCTGTCTTAGGCACTAGGGGTTCATCAGAACACAAACCAGGTCAAACCATCTGCCCTCATGGAGCTTTAATTTCAGTGGAGGAGATGACAATAAACAAAATTAAGTAAAATATACAGTATGTCGTACAGCAATTAGTTGCTGCTATCTGGTGGTCATATTGAAAATTTGGATATGGAATCCAGGGAAGGCCACTGAAAAGAGGACATTTAAGCAGAGGTCTGTATAAAGTGAGGGCGAGGACTGTGACGAAAGCTGGGGGAAGAGCATTCCAGGCAAAGGGAACTACAGGCTCAAAGTCTTGGAGGCAGAAGCTTATCTGGCAAGTATGGCAGGACGGGAAAGAGTAGGAGCAGATGAAGTGGGAGCGGGGCAGTCAACATTGGGCTTCATGAGTCAAAGTGAGGAACTGACTTTCACTGTCAGCGAAGCGGGGATATTGGGGGCTTCTGAGAAGAGGAGAGACAGGATCCAGCTTACATTTTCAGGAACATTCTTCTATGTATTCATGTTCTACCCTCTCAGGGAGCATGTGCTATCAATTACCCCCTCTATCGTCTCTGGGTGAAGTGGTTTATTTCTTCTCTCTCATCTCTTTCTAAAGGTGTGATACAGAGAATCTCTGAGCATTGTGGAAAGTTGAACTTAGACTAGAAGGGGGCGGAGCATACCAGAAGGGGACGTGGACCTTGTTCTAAGGCTGGATGAGGAAAGGCTGCTTTCCTTCACCTGGGCCAGGTGATTCATTCATTCAGATGTGTTCATTTCACACGTCCCCTGGATGAAACCATCACATGCCTTAACGTCACATTTAGAATAAAATACAGATTCCTTGCCATGGTCATCAAGACTCTCTGTGAGCAGCCTAATTCTTCCAGATCGCCCCCACTCCTTCGCCACTGACCACACTGATCTTTCTTTTCCTCAAATGGGCCAAGTTCCATCCTGCCTTAAGCCCCGGCCATTCTCTCTGGCTGGAACACTTTCCCTCTGATCTTTGTACAGCTGTACTATTCTGACTCTGATTCCACTTCTGATCACCAACTAACAATTCTGATCACCAATTCCAGTCTTGGGAGCATTCCCCACACTAAGCAAGTCTCTGAGAGCAGCCAGGTGTCCTACAATTCAACTTAATTCTGACACTATCTGCTTGAAGATAGCATCAGATCCCACAGGTTAAGAGCTCAGTCCTATAAGACTGCCCTCCACTTCAGATGCCAATCGCAAAGTCACCTGTGCTTCTGACCAACTGGCTACAGATTGGAGGTTCCAACGACCCCCTCCTTGGGTTCGATTAATTTGCTTGAGCAGCTCACAGAATTCAGAGAAACGTTTTACTTACCAGATTACCAGTTTATTATAAAAGGATATAACTCAGGAACAGCCAGATGGAAGAGACGCATAGGGTAAGGTATGGGGAAAGGATGCGGAGCTTCCCCTCTCTAAGCTCACTGCTATCTCCAATCTCCACGTATTCACCAACCCAGAAGCTCAGAACCCTGTCTTTTTGACTTTTTTATGGAGGCTTCATTACATAGGCATGATTGATTAGATCATTGGCCATTGTTGACTGAACTCAATCTCCAGCCTCCCTCCCCTCCCAGGAGGTGGGTAAGGGGAGGAGAGTGAGGGAAATTGGGTGAGACTTAAAGTTCCAACCCTCTAATCCCATGGTTGGTTCCCCTGGCAACAAGTCCCCATCCTTAGGCGCTTTCCAAAAGTCACTTCATTAACATAAACCCACTTGTGGTGGAAAGGGGCTTGTTATGAGTAACAAGACACCCGTTTCACCTCTATGGCTCTGAAAAGATTTCAGGAACTGAGAACAAGAAACCAAATATTATGACAAAAGATGCTCCCATTGCTCTTATCACTCAGGAAATTCCAAGTGTTTTTGGAGCTGTGAGCAAGGAAGGTGGATGAAGCCCAAAATATATCTGAATGACTAAATATATTTATTATTTTTATTATATATTTATTATATTTATAAGAATTATTTGTTAAATTTATAATTTTTATAAATTATTTATTAAATTAAAAATTATTCATTATATTTATAAGAAATATAAATCACAATATCATAGGCTGCCAAAGTTTGTGTAGCCCCTCGTTGACCACTGCCTCCTACAAACATATTTCAGCCACTTGTCTCGCTCACCTTAAAAATAATGTGCTCATCTGGGCACATTTTCCCCTCTGATTGTGCGTGCTTCTCCCTTTCACAGCTAAATTTCTTGAAGAGTGTCTACCCTCTGCTTCACATCCTCACCTTCCCTTCATCTCTCATCACTGTCCCATCTGTCTTATGCCCCTGTGATCCCTTGAAACTGCTCTTACCAGTAGCCTCCATGTAGCTAATTCCAATGTTCACTTTTAGTCCCTGCCTTGCTTGGCTCTTAGTAAAAATATTTGGCACAGCTGACTGTACCATCTTCTGTAAAATTCTCCTTTCCCTTGGCTTCCTTGACACAATATTTTTCTCCTAACTCCACGGAAAGCTGTTTTGCCTACGTGGCCAGGCCTTGAAATGTTGGAGTCAGGTGGCGTTCTGTCCCAGACATCCTTCCTTATTCACTCTAACTCTTCCCTTGTGATCTTATCCTCCCCAATGACTTGTATCACCATCTATCTGTAAACTAATGACTCTAATCTGTTGCTCCTGCTTAGACTTGCTTCTAAGCAGGAATATTACCACGGGCATGTTGCATATGTATATGTGACACTCAACGTGTCAGAAGCTGACTCACAACCTTCTCCCCATTCTTACTCTCACCACTCTGCATCCCACACCCCATTTATTTCAGTACTCCTCTCAGGAAATGGCATACACTCGCTGTTCAAGGCAGAACCTGGGGTTTACCTTTGGCCCCTCTCACTTCCTAACCACCTAAATCCACTCAAATCCTATCTAAATAGGCTCTAGGTTCATACCTTTCTCTCTATTGCAGATGACCCCAGCCTGTGACCATCATCTCTCAACTGCACCACAGAAATCACCTCTCATCACATCTCCACGCATGCACTCTTGACCTCTTCCAATCCATTCTCACATGGCAGCCAGAGAGGACTTCACAAAATGCACATGAGATTTTTGTCACTGCCTGCTTAAAAGCCTTCACTGGCTTCCCATGGTTAGGATAACACCCCAAACTCCAACATGGCTTGGTTTCTGTCTCACAATGACATTTGTCAAACTCAACTCTCTAGCTTAATTTGACAATTTTCAGTTCTTCAATTGCTTCAACTTTTTTTCATTTCTATGTCTAATTAATTGATTAATATTCTCTGCCCATTAGATTTTAAGATCCATTAGGTCATGAATCTTTGTCTGTTTTGTTTACCTCTTTATGTACCACAATTAGCACAGTGCCTGACACATGTGTGGGAAATATATGATTAATTTATTCAGAAATATTTTTTGAGCATCTAGTCTGTGTCACACTGTATTCTTAGTGCTGGTGATAATGGAAATAATAATATTTTTTAAAAGAGGGACAAAACTCCTTGCCCTTAAGGAGTGTATATTCTAGTAGAGAGAGACAGAATAAACAAAATGAGAAAAATATATAGTACATTTGATTGTGATAAAGGTCATAGAAAAAAATTAAGTGGGAAAGGAGGAGGAGGAGGGAGAGAGAGAGAGAGAGAGAACCAGGTGGATATTTGGAGGTAGAATGCTCCAGCAGAGAGAACAGCAACTTCAAAGGTCCTGGATGGGTGTATGCCTTGAGAGCTCATGGGTAAGAAAGGAGGACAGTGTGACTAGAACTAAATGAGCCAGGAAGAGCAGTGAGACATCAGTGCAGAGACACAAGAGGATCCACGACACAGTGCCTTGCAGGCCTGTGGGAGCATTCACGATCTGTGCAATGGGACGTCACTGAAGTGTTTTCAGTAGAGGAGTGTCGTGGTGGGACATGGATTTTAGCAGTCTCACTCAGAATGCTATGTTGGGAATAGACTGAATAGGAGTAAAGATGGGAGCAAAGGTGCCAGGTAGGAGGCTCCTAAAACAATCCGGTTGATAGAAAATGGCAAGTCCAACCAGGGTGGTAGCAGAGAGGTTGAATGTGATACATATTTTGAAGGTAGAATTGACAAGATTTACTGATAAACTGTGTGTTGCATATGAGAAAAAGAGGAATCAAGAATGATTCTAATGGTTTTTGGCCTGAGCAGATGGAAAGATGGAGTTGCCATTAACTGAGATAGGGAAGACTGTGGAAAGAGTAGGTTTGAACATTAACTTTAAGAAGCCTATTAGACATTCAAGACATTTCATGCTGATCAGAGTTGCATTTTTAAAATTAGAACACTTGTTAAAATGCCTGATGTCTTTTAGGATTAGCCTCATTTCTTTCAGGCCCAAGGCATTGGCACTATCCCCAACTTTATAGATGTCATAAAACTGGTCTAAGGGGGATACATTAGTTTGGTATTGTCTGTGGTACCAGATCTCCAGAACTGCTGCTGTCTAGATATTTACTCTGAACGTCGTTTTAAAAAACTAATAAGCAAAACATTCCTGGTTGTGCAGAAAGCTTGGAGCTACTCTTCCCTCTAAAGCTTCCCAAACTCAGAGGCATTAGACAAGGTTTTCTTGGCCAAACCATGTGCCAGGTCCTCTGACAAACCATCTGCTAGGAATCTGTCCTTCTATAACACTGAGCCAAGTGCTCCAGATGGGGCTGTGAAAGGACTCCAGTCTGGATAAAGAAGGCAAAGGGACAACCACGGGCATGTTTTCAAATCATTGTGCCTGGGCAACCAAGGACATCATCAGATAATGTCTTTTCAGGCCTTCTTAGAGTAGTAAAATCATTGCCTACCCAAGAATGGGATACCCAAGCCCAGCGAGTCCCTAAAAGAACCTCTGTGAATAAATTGGGAACAGATGTTGCCCCATAAACAAAGTGAAAAAAAATTCACAAAACCCCAACCTGCTGAAAGACAAAAGTTTTACCTTAAACTATAATGTTAAATGGGTGAGTGCATTTTCTTTTCTTAACTTGCTTGCTAAGGAAAAAGATGTGCAAATTTCTCAGACTCAAAAGTGCAACCAAGGAAAATAGCCAAGTTCCAGAGATAGTCCATCATCCACCTACAGCTTCTTATGACAGACCGTGGGGTGATTAAAATGTTAGTGTCTCCATTTGGAATGAGCGGTGCCCTCTTGAAGGACTCATGAGCAAGGGCTCCAGTTGAATTCCCGGGCAGTCCTGGACAGTGCGTCGCTTGCTGTTCTCATATTGAATAAAGGAATAACATTTCCCCAGGCTCAGGACAAGGGGTGCCCATCAAATAACCAGCCTGGTTTCTCTGTCTGTAAATCAGCTCAGAAGACCAATAGCCAACAAGATTTCCAAACCCTTCAGGGAAAAATGCAGCAGCAATGAAATGGGGTTAGAGCTCTTCC